GCAGAAAGCCTCATCTTTCTCCTGCAGAACAGCTGGTAGTTTCAAACTGCTAACCTTGCGGTTCACAGCTTGAATCGTAACCATTTCACTACCAGACTTCCTTGGTATACCTCCCTAATTCCTATACTGGCATAGCCAGAAAACACTGATTAGTGACTTCATCAGTTATGACAATATTTTGCACAACAATGACCTTTCTATTTGATCCCATCCATCCTACATAAACTTTACCTTCTTCTTACTTCATTTCTCAACATTGTATACCAGATAACTAGCTAATTTGGAATGCCATTACCTAAGAAGATCTTGGCAAGTAACAATCACTTAGTCTCGTGGTTCTCACACTGCACATACGTAGTAAACACCTGGAGCGTTTGTTAAAACACAGATTGCTAGGCTCTATTCCTAAGAGTCTGGGTTGAGACGCAGAATGTTACATTTCTACCAAGTTTGGGAGTGACACAGATGCTGCTGGTCCAAGGACTTTGTGTTAAGGGTCTCTGGCTTAGATAAGCCCCTTGAAAATATGTTTGCCATCTTAACAGATAATTCTAATGTTGGTAATATCAAGAAGTACACCTATGATACTCTATTCCCCTGTACCCCTAAACATCTACTTTAATAGTAAATAGGATTTTTCATGAAGTTAATGGATTGATAGTGTAAGACATAAGGATTCAAGAGAAAGAAAAAAAATGGACTGGTTGAGGATAAGTCAAAATAGGTATTTTATAATTAACTCGAGAATTGAATCCCAAACAAAGACACTTGTACCATAATAAGGCTTTTTTGATGTGAACAGAGTAAAGACTTAATCAGATAAAGTAAACTGAGAATAGACAATTTTACTGAGAAATAAGTATGAAGTGTCCTATAATATGATATGATAAAGGCTATAGAGGTGAGTTATTTGTTATGCATACATATATGTGTATGTATGTGATAATAAATCCACAAGATAGGACAGAATACACTGGAAATATTTTTCAAGGGGTCAGTCCCAAAGTTAGAAGCATATGTTTTTCAGTCCCAAAGTTAAGGCATATGTTTTTCAAGGCCTATGATTAAGTTAGAAAATGTATATATTTCTTTTCTCTTTGCAATAATAAATTATCCCTTCATTCCTAACACAAGGTGCTGATTCTTTCAAGAATGATGGGGTCTACTCCAGGTATTTTACAACTTATAAAGAAAATGGCAGATATAGCTTAAAAGTCCAGGCTCAAGGAGGAGCAAATATTGTCACACGAAGCTCACAGCGTCCCAGGAATGGAGCTCTCTCTATACCAGGTTGGACGGTAGATGGTGAGTTATTCGTGTTATCAGAAATCTAGTGTTCACTTGAAAAATATTTGTGAATTGATAGGATTAATGCTCAAATTACTGTTCTCTCCCCTCACCCCCCATTCTGGAATGAAATTCTAGAGAGACGGGAGTTTGTCTCCAAATTAATCTAAACTTAGGTACAGTGCGTATATGTGTGCCTAGTAAGCACACAGTAAGTGTTAATTATTATTATTAGAGAACATCTTATCAGTACCAATAATAATAAGCCTGATTTGGACCCAGGAGAAAGAAAATAGGCCAATATGTTATAAGCATAAATACAAGCCACGGACAGAATTTATCCTTCAAATTACATTTGCTATGAGAGTTACATAAACAAGTAAACATTTATTTAGGGTATTTTTATAACGTCCAAAGGAAAAAGATGTGTGGAGTAAAGTGATGACAAGGATTAAGATCAAATTATTTGATTTAATCTTTGTTCTGTCAGACTCATTATGGGAAAATTCTTCCTTTAGTATCCTAACCAGGGTCTTGTAGGAGAGAATCAGTAACAAATTGTTTGGGTAT